GACATTTCACAACAGCACATTTGTCCGGTGTGCAAGTCATGAGGAGAGTTCTCTTAGGCCCGGTTCACACAAGCGACTTATCTAGCCGACTAGGCTGTGACTAGGTAAGCCCGACTGGGTAGCGGACCACAGGATCAAATCGAGCCGTTCACACAAGTGTAGGGCGACAACAAGCTAGCCGCGTTCGAACTTGGTGTCCCAAAACATAGTCGGGTCCCGCTTCCCAGTCACTCATGGCAGCTACCCAGTCACCCGCTCTAGCGGCGTAGCAGTACACGTAGCTTTATGGGAGCGTTCACACGAGCGATCGGGTAGTCGCGCTGCAGCTCTCATTCTTCCCTATGTTCTCACTGTGCACCAGTGATGGATCCAAGTGGTTTTGATATCAATATTTTCACCTAGTCTGTGGACATGTCGCTCGTGTGAACCGGTGTATCCTGTGGTTCGCTACCACAGCTTACCTACGGCTTACCTAGTCACAGCCTAGTCAGCTAGATATAAGTCGCTCGTGTGAACAGGGCCTTACTGTAGTAGAGTTTAATGGTACAGGCCCTGGCCCACCACCAAAACATACAACCACAACATAAAATAAATAGAAGATGACTCAGGTGGAATTTGATGATAAATACTTTATTGCCGTGACATTGACATTGTATCGACAGTACAATAAATTAATTTTCAACTTAGGTTTGGTATTAAATTAAACTCTTTATAATATAATTTTTAAATTTTGATGCATTTTTCATTCAATTCTTGAATAGAATAGATCGTATCTTCATTAAGGATTTGATTTAATTTTTTTTGTATTCTTTTAATTTTAAGTTTTGAATATTAGTTTGTCATTTCTTAAATAGTTTTCTTCCATTGTAATAGAGTTGTTTTTCATAAAACTTTGTTTTATGGAAAGTAGAAGAAAATATATTTGTAATTTTCTCAAATCGTAATTCTTCTCACATAATTCATAATTTTTCTAGAATTTCTTAAAATTGTTCTTTAAAAATAGTAATGTTTTGTAAATATATATTGAGTAAAAGGTCATAAACTGGTAATTTTTAAATAATTTTTTACAAGATTTTGGCGTGGTTTCAATTTAAAAATAATTCTTAATGTAGACTTTTGTAATTAAAATTTTGTTAGTTTTGATTAAGTTGAGCTCCATTTAGATATTGCATAACTAATGTTGGAAATTAACAAATGATAAATAGTAAGTAATGCCTCTTCACTACAGAACATAGACAATCTTCTTAGTATAAAAATAATTTGGGAATGTTTTTTTACTTAAATATAAAAGATAAAAGATTCTTTGCAATTTCCCCTCAAAACGGCATTTTGCTACTTTTTCGTTATCCTTCATGTGTTCCTGTGTTGAATTTACTCAAAACTTAAACTAAATTTAATTTAAGAAACTTAATTTAAAATATAGTAATTTTTATTTACATGTTCATCATGAAAAATTGTGATTACAAGTTTAATAAGTCACTGAAAACAGCTGATTGAAAAGGTTTAGAATCAATGATTTCAGCTTACTTTTTTAAAAGTATCAAATATTTTAAAATAACTTATAGGTATGACAAAAATTTGCATTTTATTAAAACATTGGAAGTAGAGGTGGACACTTAAGATAATAGGACAAATAGTAATAATAAGCTATTTAATAAGTAATAATTATTTACTAGTGAACCTGTGCGGCTCAATGCCCCGCAAAATAACATATGAATTAAAAAAAAAATTCATCGTGTTATATATTGACTCGACGTCGAAAATTAAATACGGTAGGCTAATAATAAAGTCTTAGAAGGGAAGCAGTCCAGCTATTTTCTAGCTATATGTGTATTATAAATAATAATGTGTATAACGTGTATTGTAAATTAATAAGGGTTCAAGTTCACGTATGTTACAGGGTAGTTATTTTTAAAAACACATTTAACAAAACATTTAATCGTATCAAACCAATATACCTATGTAGCATATTTTGAGGGTCATAAAATGCTGCTAGAAGGAAACACTTTTAAAAACAAACACTAAAAACCAAAATGTTCATCTTCGAAATCAAAATATATCCCCACTCACTTGTTCCAGTTAGGACTTTACATTCTATTAAGTTGTTAACCGTTCTGATCACATGAAGCCTTGTGCCATTAATGATACCCTTTTTTGTATTCCTCATCAATAAAACCACTGCCCCCTTTTATTAGTCTAATCTGTGTCTTGGCAATCCACTGACATCTATATTTAAAAACTCAGTTGGATTTTCTAGATGGGTGTCTCCGCCTTCCTGTTTTTGAGGACCAACTCTTCTTTCTCTTGGCATACTGACAATTAATCACCTAACTTGTCAAGTTCATGTAGTAATTCATTAATACTGTTAGTTTATAAATAACATTAGATAAAAGTTACTTGCCTTGGTGCTTTCATAACTGCAAACTCAAAATACACCCACAAGTAAAAAAGAATCAAGTTACAGTATTGTTAAAAAAAAAAAACTATGTTTGTGTAACAACATTATCCACATGAAGTAGATGATTTGTTTGATTTGTCGATCAGCTGTTTAGTTTCAAATGAATTAATAATGTCAAAGATTTGTGATTTAAAATACATAAATTATTATAGTACTGTAAAGTTTTCTTAATCATGATAACTTATTCTCAACAAAATTTTACTATTCCCAGCATTAAAATAAAGTAGTAAGATCCATTATGAGTAAACTTTAAGGTACACAATCCTTGATTGAAATGTAGTATACATTAACAGTCATAATACATAGCAATTATTATGTAGTAGACTTTGACTATTTTCAAGCAACAAACATATGTTTCTGTAAATAAAAATTATCTCCCCATGTTATCCTTATGGAAAAATACGAAACTTTAAAGGGCCCCAGGGCCTTATTCTCTAATTATTTCCCTAAAAAGAAAGTTTCCTGCACAACTTCACGTTACGCTCTTTCCAATGAGACCAAAAACATGTCAATCGGTTCAGTAGTTTCGGAAAAGTAATTGTCACAAAAATCCTGCTTGCCTATTAAATAAGTACTAGAGGTCGTCCAGTGGTCGAAACTCGACCATAAATATGTACATAAATATGTAATTTAATTATTTTCAAAGCAATTAACCATCACTTAATTTGAAGGCAATAATTAAATAACAATTTATTCATTGGTTGATTTGGATAATATTTTCTAATGATTAGCTAATGACTAAGTGATTTTATTAAAGTAGATTAAGTATGTCAAATTCCAAGAATATATTATGCCAGTTTGTTTGTTTTGATTTGACACGAATGAACACAAAATCGTATTAAAAAGGTCCATCTTCAAAGGTATTCCACCACAGCTTAACCACTTCTAGCTAAAAAAATCCAATTGTACATTACATACTTCTCTATTTTTCACCCCACTCTGTAAATAAAACATGTGATTGGAATTTGTTTTGATTTTCTGTTTATATTTCGTTGTTATTTCGTCACCATCATGGCAACCCATAAAGCCCATGTTAATTTTTTGTTAATTTCAAATTCATTTTTTGTGCTTATCTTTGAGCCTATTTTAATTTATAATGGGATTCTGCACACCTACAGGAAAATATCTTTCTAACAGTATGCATAGATTTTCCCTACGACGCACACGAGCTGAGAAAAAAGGTTTTAAAGAAACATGCTTGCCTATTAATATATAGATAGATAGATTAAGTAATAATTTCTCAAGTGGTCTATTACCCTGGTACCAGATTATTGAGAATCCCCTATTAAAATAGCAACGCCATCTACACTGTTCAAACAAACGAATGAAATAACTATCCCGCTGATTGTGTCTTCCTTTCAACAGCAAGTATTCCAAAATAATATAGTGCTTTGGACATACGATAATTTTTTTAACGTTGTCTGAACTGTTAGAATGAGCGAGTGCAAAAAGACTGATCCTGTCTTCCTATTAACGGCGACCAGCTGTAACGTCCTTTATGATGGTGACAAAAGTAATAGTATTATTTCACCTATTACTGAAAAGCTAAGGAACTTTCCTGACTATTATTGCAAAGTAATGGTATTTCCTGTACAATACGTCGACATCGTACTGTACGTTTGGGGTCAGGGATGGGGTGTTGTAAGTAAATACACTGGTTACATTTTAAATAATGCTCAGAGGGCCGCAAGGGGTATGATGTTGACGGGTCTAATACATGGTGTGGACTGACTTGAGGAGAGGGGATTTAGGCTGCGTACGGACCGGAAAGGTGGTGTGATGGTGGCGTGATATGACGTCATGACGGGAAATAGCCATGAGCTGCTTTATTGGAAATAATATGGTACATTTCCCATCTCTAATTGGGAGGAAATTATAGAGTTCAAATAGCAAATAAAAAGGTTTTTAGAATACATTCTCTCAATTTACCTTTTGAAAATTATTAATTATATGAAAACCATTTTTAGACTGAGGTATTTTGTCATCAAAGACAAATTTCTAAAGGTAGTTGTGATGTAGTGACTAAAAATATCCATAGCACTTGAAACTGATAACAGCTAATTGTGATTTTATCAAGCTTACATTAGGTTTGTGCAGTGAGTCAGTAACTGTGTTGCAAATTGATTTTCTTGTTGAAAAATATGTTTTTGCCTAAATCAATCAATAGTTTAGAGTGTAACCAACATTCTTTGGATACTGTGAGTAAGGCAACAGTGTTGTGCTGTAGGGTGTTGTTTTGTTTGAATAAATAAAACAAGTCAGGGGCAGACTTTTAAGTCATGATGTTTCATGGTAAGATATAAAGTTTTTCTGTTCTGATGGATAAAATGGCAAGTTGTTTTTAATTTGCTTTTAGATGGCCTAGGTAATTAAATTCAGCTTATCTAACACACGTACATAACTACACAGACCATACAATGAATTTTACAATATAACCTTCATATTCAGTTTAAAATGTGAGCATAGGTGACATAGTTGCCTCAAAAGCTCACTATACATAGTTTAAAATATATACTCTTCTCTAACAACTGTACCGGTTTAGGTGAGAAAAGGTTCTCCAAGCCGGAGATGGAGGCGCTACAGTTTGATCCTCGTAGGAAGACACTCTCTCTGGTCAAGACAGATCTGCCAGCCATCATTGAGAAACAGGAGGTGATAGTGAAGGTTGTCTACGCTGGAGTGTGTGGAACAGACCTACACATACTGGATGTAAGTAAGCAATGGTTAACAATTACTCATCAATTCAATAGTCAAGGTTTATTTTGACACAATGTGAAAACAGGTGAAATAGTTACCCTCAATTAAAAGCAATAAACTGCAACTACAAATTAAAACATGGGAAGGAACCATGAAAACCTTAATGTGGGAGGAATCATTAAATCATTAATTTTATTATAAACTTTGGAGAACAATTTTTAACCTTCATTTTTTAATTTCATAGGTTTTTATTGACTTGATACCATTTATTGCGTATTGACATTTCTCTTACTATTAATTATTATTATTATTAAGTATTATTACCAATTGAGATGGACCATCGGAATGAGTTTCAGGGGAAAAATTCTATGAGGGGAGCTAGTTGAAAATCATTTTGATGTCTCAATTGTGGTTAAAGTGATAATTCAAAAATATAAATTTGTTTATAAAAGTTCTGTTTAAAAAATCTAAGTTGGTTTTATTGTATGGCAAGTGTTTTCAATTCTGTGAATTGAATATATGAATGGAATATATCAAAATATAATATTCCAGGTTTTACCTTTTTTTATTATCAGGATAATATTTTGAGTTTTAATAATGGTTTTGACATTTAAAAAGTTGCCTCTGAACTCCAGTCCATACCACATGTTCATCACATAATATAAGGTAAAAAACATTCTTGTACTCAGGTCTGTAACATGCTACAGTAAAGTCATCTGACTTGAATTGTGTTATTGATGAGACAAATCAGTGATGAGGAAATAGTTAAGGAAATTATACAAAAAACGCATTTTCAATTAATTATCTAGAGAAACTTGCTTGGATAGCAGCCAAATAATCAGATTGATTATAACTCAATTGACATACAGTATTTTTTTCAGGGTACGTTTCTATGTCGAGATCGCCCGTTTATCCCAGGTCATGAGTTCTGCGGAGTTGCCAGCTCTATAGGCTCAGAGGTGAAGCATATCAAACGAGGCGATCGTGTGGTTGTCAATCCCAACAGGTAAAGTTTATCTTCAATATCATTTAAAAACATAATTTAGCCATTCCTTGTCTTTTCAACCAAAATACACCTGCCACATCAAACTTGCAGACTGAGCGAATTTCAATTAATCAGATTGGATTTATACTCAAATATTTCTATAAAAAAATATTTATTCCCTATTTAAATAACATGAGTACTTAGGTTTGCTGCTACGGGGAAGTTTAAATTGTTTTTATGACCAAATGTTAATAGTTTGCCAAATTTTACTAACATACATCCATAAGCAAGCAAACTACAGCAGTTTTCTTTTTCTCTATAAGAATAACAAAAAAATCTTAAACGTACTACTTTTATAAAAATTTTATCCGTAACGTTCAATTTGACAAAAATCCCTATTGTTCTTTGCGATGAGACTGATTGTCAGGTATGAACCGGCTAAAATATTAGTGGATGAGTAAAAAACACGTTGCTGGTGTCAGATTTGAGTCATTGAATCTTGAAGGAGACCTAAATTTTCCTTCGTCAATTCCTACAAATTTATTGTCAATTCATGCAATTTTGAAACTTAATTACTATACAATGTATATTATTGCAGCGGTTGTGGCGTTTGTTCGTATTGCACGGCAGGCCAGTACCATCAGTGTCCCTCCGGCAGTCTCAACACCACCATCGGGATATTCAACAATGGCGGCTGGGCACAATACTGCAAGGTGCCTGCGTCACAGGTGCATCGTATCCCTGACTGTATGACCTTCCAGCAAGGTAAGGGCAAATAATGTAGTTTAAAACATGTTTAATTTTTGTATCAGAATTTATATTTTCAGAGTATACAAATTGTATTACTGATTGTGATAGGATGCTACTGGGCGTATTTAAACCGAAATGTGAGAGAAGGATGAGTGGAGAATGGAGTGTGATGGTCTGTCTAGTTTTGGTACTGATTAAGAACGCAGCTTGTTTTTGACCATTATCAGTTAATACAAAGTTCAATGATCATAAGAACAGCTGGTTGCAGTTTTGAACCGTCAAAAAGCTACTGTTTTTTCTCAGGATTAAACCAGCAAAGTCCTGCTTGCTATGAGAGCACTATAACTATTCAATCATTATAAGACCAGTAAGATTCAAAGTACTGTAATTTGGTTTATTTCAAAAATCTAACGTGGCTGCATGTGTTGGTTCAGGAATCTACTTTTTAATATTGTTTCCAGTGATTACTTGGTAAACCAATGCTAGTGCAAACTATATTGTGATTCTTAAGACTGGACTTGACTAAAGTTGACATTTTCTGGCAAATTTGCTTTGTTGTGTAACATTTTCAACCACTATTGCTTTCTTTCTATCTTGGACACTGAAATCCTAGGCTTGCCTTGCCCTAACAGTTTTCTAATACTCCTAAAAAAGGGAAAAAGGTCAGAAGGTAGCTTTTTAATGGTTTGAATCTAGACTCACCTGATCTTGATGAATAAATGACTTTTAATAAATGACCCTGACTTAAGCAACTGATGATCTAAGTCACTAACAAAGCTATCATCTCATTCATTTATTGCTCATCCTTCAGGCTGGGTTCTCACGAGCAACTCATCTAGATGACTGACATTGACTAGTATTCCTCGCGCCCCGGCGACACACTAGTTCACATGAGCGACGAATCCACCAACTAGATCGCAAGTGTGATGTAAATAAATGTGCATCGATAAAACGATTTTTCGATACGTTAATGTTTTGCTATCAATATATGATGTTTTTGCATTGATCATAGGTGACCAATGTTTTTGTTACAATGTTGTTTTGTTTTAAACAATTATTTTAAATTTTTCATTACTAAATTTGCAGTACAATAATGAAATTCAGGTAACAAACCATCAATTAAACTATTAAAAAAGTTTGGTTCAAAAAACATTATTGTCAAGAGAATATTAAGTAATTAAAAATTATTTTTAGAAACATCTCAGCCGTTTATCAACAGATATTTTGTATATTCATATTGTTGGACTTGTAATACAACTTACCTAAAAGTTGTATGCAATTTTTTTTTTTTTAAGAGGTTGGCGGCCTCTTTTAGCCTTGCATTTGCCTGTCCACATAGACTACAGATCTGTGCGTGGAACGTATCCAGCAAAGCAAGGGGTGAGCCGGTACAGCACAAAGGTGAACTGTACTGATAAAAGTTAGTGGCAGTGACCAGGATCCGAACCCACGACACTACTGCCTTGAGCCCGAAGTCCGCGACGCTACCGACTGAGCCACCGACTCACATTGATTTTTGCTCACATTGCCGACTCACATACAAATTTAGAACATTGCTAATTTTCTTTCAATCAATAACGCTATGAAATGGAAGCCAAACAAAATATTAAATTGAAACCACAAGAAAATCATTTATTACTATAACCATGATAATTGTTTCTATATCACTTCCGTATTTGTACCAGTCTATACGTGCCACAGTTTTGCCGAAATCTAGTTATTTTGATTTCTTTATCATTATGTCTTATTAATTTTATCATGATGTTCCGAAAGAAAGTGCTCCAAAGACACAGTTGTTTTCTCACTGATTTGATGAAAATATCAATATCAAAACAACTTGAATCCATCACTGGCGCACAATGAAAACATATGTATAAGCATTGACTATATAACACACTGCGAGCTGCAGCGCGATGACCGACCACCCGTGTGAACGCCCCCATATAACCATGCTATAACCATGCTGCATGTGCACATTAAGCTATGTGTACTGTTACGCCGCTAGAGTTATTGACTAGCTAGCCGTGACAGTTGCGATACTTGGCTGGGAAGCAGAGCCTGGCGATGGTTTGCAATGCCAAGCTTGATCGCGGCTCGATTGCCGTCGCCGTACGCTCGTGGTCCTGTGGTGCGCTTCCTAGTCCTGCTTACCTAGTCACAGCCTAGTCAGCTAAATATGTCGCTCGTCTGAACTGTGTGTCACTTGTATTTGCCTGAAACACAATCTGATATGACAGGATGTAATTAATGTAACACATAGAAATCTGAAATTTAACCAAGCACAGCTCAATGATTTAGCTTAAATATGTATTCATTGCTACATTCTAAGTCAATGAGTTATACATGTATCTCTAACCATTGTGTAATACCGTAGCTGTCCTGTGCGAGCCCTTGTCTTGTGTGTGTCATGGGTGGGATCGCATAGGTCCTCTGCCCATTGGCTCTACAGTGCTGATCTCTGGAGCAGGCATTGTCGGCAACCTTTGGTCGAGTCTGTTGCATCACTCAGGACATCGCAAAGTCATCGTGTCCGAACCTCTCTCTGCCAGACGCAATCTCAATGAGCAGCTCAGTAAGTGATATGGTCACCCTTTCATAAGAAAGTATTAAAGTATTACAATTGTATATACAATCAACTATATCCAAGACTTTTTGCATTGATTCTAGATTTAACATAAATGTATTCATACTGTCTTTGTCATCAAATTCAATATTCAAAACTGAACCCAGCTGTTCTTGATCATGGGGCTTTTAATAAATAGTTTCAGCTAAAGACCCAGTTGAATTTAGTGTCAGAGCTGTACAGGCCATCTCAGTCTACAACACTCACCCTACAGCTTAAAATGTTTGGACAACTTATGTTGCTGTCTTAGTGTTCAAAGGATTGTGTAATCTAGGCTATTATATTTGTTAGTATAAATGGCAGTTTCTTTAGTCAGGACCATTTACTTAAACTCCAGTCAAAGTAACATACTGCTAGAAAAATATATTACAATAAATCAAACATTTCCTTTTTTGTAAGTTAAAAAAAAAACTCAATCAATTTTGTTCAGACACAGGGTACAAGTGTATCAGCCCAGAGGAACTGAAAGTGCTAAAGACAGCCAACCCGCAGTGGGGTGTAGATGTGTGTGTGGACTGTAGCGGCAACGGACAAGCCATACAGGACGGTCTGTCAGTGCTGCGGCCTGGTGGCAAACTGTGCATCTTCGGAGTGGCTGCTCCTGACTCTGTCATCAGGTTAGATGTGCAACAATTAATATTCTGATCTCTATTGTTGGGAATTTAATGATAGTAGAGTAATTTTTAATCTTTCCAACAGTACCTACTAAAACATCAACACATCAAGTTCAATATTCAAAACCTAGATGTGTCTTCTGGGGGGTCGTGATGGTTTTGGTCTATTAGCAAACAGAGTAATTATTGTAAGGATGAGTTATCTTTATAATAAAACTGTTTCTTAATAAATTGAACTGTAAAATACTTCATTCAAGTAGAAGCATTGACTTTTAGAAACCAGGATGGACTTTGAAAAAGATCACTGAAAAGTGAAAAATTAATGTTGAACCTTTTGAGCTCCTAAGTCTGACATATTGGGAATATAAGTAACATAACTAAACTTCCACTTACAAAACGCCTGAAAGATATAACTAATATGCGTTGTAGACTGGAAGTCAAGTTACCAATTTACATCTAGGTTTATGGTTTGGTGATGCTAGTACGGTAGGCAGTTAATTCTGAACAAAGACCAATTGGTCTAAGAGACAGCTTAGAAAGGAACATGGTTAGAAGAGAAGCCATAGTTTGAGGGTTAAAATCCCGTTTCAGTCAGGTCTGGTGTCCAACATATGAGAAGTTCACCTGTATGTGGGTGAGAGCTCGGTTAGGGAGGCCAACCTAAAATAAAGGGTGGAAGTTGAAAAGATTAGTGGATTCTTTGTAAATTGCACCTCAAACCAGGCATTTTGCTACCTTGCTTATATACTGAGTGTGTGTGATCACCAAAATCCTGTGCAAAAACTATTTGGATTTTTGAGTTTAAATTATATTGCCACTGAATAATCTACGAAGTTCAACTGCTAAATGAGCTGACACCAAATACCACTGTACTTTCCTATTAGTAAATACTACTATTAAGCACTCTGACGAGATATATTTGTTGCAGTATGTCTCCGTTTGACATATTCAGGAAGGAGTTGACCATCGTAGGTGTGCTCATCAACCAATTCAGTTTCCCCCAGGCCCTGAGCCTGATAGAAGCCATGGGCTCCAGGTATGTGGACGAGTACGTATGCTTTGCTTCTCTCACTTACTAACATTTAGCCGATCCTCCACAATCAATTTTGTGAGTCAGTAAGACTGTTCTTTTGGATTTATATTTTATAACAAGAACTAACATAACAGGGTTTGGCTTATGTTTGATGTTTTTCAAATGGGCAGTTGTAAATTGTTTTGGTGTCTTGTTAAATAATTATGGCTAAGGTTTTAATTCATAAAAGATTCAAGGTTTTTTTATCAAGATTGTTGTTTGCAGGATATAAATTGACGGAAGCGTTAAGATTTTCAACTCTCTAAATATTATTATAATATATTCTCTAAATAATAATTTACAGGATCGTCTGGGTTTTGAAAATGCCATAATTCTAAGGATCCTTTTTTTTTAATTTTAAAAATGGTTACGGCATTTGAGCAGTTGCCCCAGAACTCTATTCCATACAACATGTTTGACACAAACAAGTCATAATAAACAATCATCCTTGTCTTGAGGTCAGTAACATGCTGCAGGACAGACACCTGGAAACAGACTGTGAAAGGGACCTTTGTTGGAAACAGAATATTTATGATATCAATACTGTATTAGTAAGGTTAAATTAATTGGATTTGACTAGTGAAAATGCCTTGTTGTACTATTCTTTTCACCTGTACCAGTGTTGTACTCGTGGAGTTATTTTCATTTGCTGTAAAAACTTGTCAAGAGGAAGACATTGATTAAAAATAAACCTACGAAGTGGTAACTGAAGATGCAAGATTTTGGGTGAATCACGTCTATTAAGATTTAAACAATACTCTATTAACATTTTGTCCAAATTTAATGGAGTATATTTAATTTTAAAGCCATACTAATCTCATTATCCAACCACTAACATTTTGTTTTGCTTATTAATCCTTCAAAATGAAAGCTAAATGAAAATTAACTGCAAATCACCATCTATGTTACAGGTACCTCGACTACGACGTTCTCGGCATCAAGGTGTTCCCTCTGGAACAACACCAAGAGGCTATCCTAGCGCTCCGGAAGGGAACCATAGCTAAGGCGGTGTTCAAACTGTCCTCAGGCCCGGACTGAACTTGTCTCCAGCAGATACTGAACAATGACCTGCTCCAGTGGTGCAAGATTTCACCCCAAGGATTACCAAATATTAGATGGTTGTATCGTCAAGTTTTCCCAATAAACTCTTAATCGATGGGCATCGTGTACATAAAGTGCTTGTATAGATTTGTATGAACAATTAAAGGAACTTTTTCAAAAAAAGAATTTTGTATCAAATTATTTTACGTGTCCAAACATATTTAGTACACAAACTAACTAGACACGGAGGATTATAGATATAAGTTACTGATATATGATTTACTAAAAGCAACTTTTAGTCCATTGTTGACGAGTGCCTGATTTATATCTGGATGTGTGTGTTTTTTTAACCCTCCAAGTGTCCATAGTTTAGGCCTTAATGTCCACCTATTTTTGGCGCATTTGCAAGGTTTTATTAAAACCGATCTGAGAAGCTTAAAACAATTTTAATTCTACTGTTCTATATACCATTTTGTTTGGAAAATCATGGGCTTCAATATTATACATAAAACATAAGGAACATTTGTTTCAAAAAAATTTTTTAGGTAAAAAAAAATATTTTGGAAAATTTTCAAAAAAAAAATAAGTTTGCGCTCAATGAAATTATATAAATTAGGCCTATAAATATTTGAAAATAGCCACTTTGTTCTAAATTTTATGAGGATTACAAATATATAATAATATAAGGAAGTAGATATACCAGGTCCAAAAAATAGCACAGCAACAAACTATAAATAAATAAGTTATGGGCAAAAAACAGATTTCAGTACATAGCGTTTAGCTAAGAATGCATAGTTTAACCAACCTAATAGCATAGCCTAGGAATCTGGCTGATAATTTACATCAATATCACTACCTACTTCTTCAGGATCATCAACCAGCCCTTCAAAATCACTTAAATCTTCTTATAATGCACCACGTATATCACTACTTTTGATTTTTAACACTAAAACAATGATAAACGTAATAAAACACATCAGTCATCGGTCCGAGGATAACCAAGCTGCTTACAAATACGCACGTCAGCTGTCTGCTACAATTACGATCGGCTCAGAGAACATACAGCGCTGAGACAGACCTCTGGAGAAAGCTTAAATTTTAAGGAAAAGAACGATACCTAACTCGATCCAGTTCAATCCGATTCAGTCAGTCATAGAGCCTTCGCCATAAACGATGTTCGCGCGTCGAAAAATCGACGCGTGACATTACACAAAGTGTGTAGAGCGTCGATTTTTCGACGATGGACGCTCGGAGGGTTAATTCTTGGTCCCCCATTACTCGCCTTTGTAGAATTCAGAAAAGCCAAATTCAACATACGTTGAATTTTTATTTGTTTTTTTTTCACATAGGAGAAATGCAAGAATCTTAACGGGAAAAAATTCCTGGGAAGGTCCAGCTGGTCAGTGTATAGAACAACTGCACTGATATAAAGTGCTATGATGGTTGGGAGCTTTAACTTGATTGGGAAAGCAAGGGATTATCCAGGCATCCTTATCTCACTTTGAACAAAACACTGGATAAACGTTGAGTTTGTATTAATATAATCAACAAAACAGTTGGAACTGTAGGTTAAAAGTTCAAAAATAGATCAAGTGATTAAACATCATATAAACTTTATTTAGTACAAAATATATGCATATAATAAATACATAATGAAATATTTCTGTTTTCCAAAAATACATTTAGTACTTTTTGTGAAATACAATACATAATAATTAAAATATTAAAATGTGATAAAGTAAAAAAAAAATAATAAATTTGATCACAAAATTAACATAATGATTTCTGACAACACAGTAAATATACTAAACCTTGGATAGATTGTCAGTCTAGTTACATTATTGGTGGAAATAATAACCGCCATATCTGGCATTGTTGTTCTCAACCTACCATATAAAAGGCATTCACATAGGAATACAAAATAGAACTTGTGTGAAGTAAATCTAAGGTTGGGATTGTGACAAAACCAATTATTTCTACTGTTTTGCAGCTGTAAACAAGTAGTACAGTAGACTCCCTCTTATCCGGATTCCTCGGGACCAGTCCGGACAACGGTTTTTCCGGTTAAACCGACGTTCCCGAAAACTCGTTAAAACAGACCGTTTACTGTGATCTTCGACTTAAATTTAGAAGAGCATTGTATTTAGACACGTGATCACTGGTCCCAAATCTTTCCCACGAGAACAGTTGTTTCAGTACCGCCCACTTCCTGCCGATCTTGTATGGTTAAACCAATTTGCTGATAAAAAATTTTCCGGTTAGAGATGTCATTTCCACCAAGTGTAGTCCAGTTTAACCGATGTCTGGTTAAAAGGTGTCCGGATAAGAGGGAGTCTACTGTAAACCCTTCTTAATCTAGACTGATGTCTGATTTGGGTTCCTTGTCGTCCATAATGAATAAAATAATTTAATACAAAAAAGACAGCGCTATTCCAGGACCGATTGGGTACTACTTGTATGAAATAAACTACTTTTACAACTAAAACCACGAAAGTACTGTAAATTAAAATTCCACAACAGAGGACGGCACCAATTCCACCATTGATTGCACTCCATGCACATTGATAATCTCTATCACACACTACTAAACAAACATGAGTAGTTTTCAGAGGTGCATTTCTAACTTAGCTGAATGGATTAAACAAGAGCTACTATTGGTGTCTAGATTAATAAGGGTTCATTGTATGGATAAAAAGATTGTATAATTGAGACATATGTCAAAATTATAAAAGGCAATTCTGTAATGGAGTCTTAAATTCTAATTGTATCATGTTTAATATTCAGTCTGGTACTATTCTAAATACTACGCTCAATTTCTAGCTACAAGTTTTCTTGAACACATTAATAATGACTAATTATATAACAGGAACCAAGCACATTTTTCACTCCATATTTGTTACTTTGTTATTCAAATCCACAAAATTGGCAAACTGCAGTGAGCAGGAGCAGTTAAGGGTTTACCAATGAATTAATAGCAATCAATAAACAACTGTTTTGTGTGTAAATATAATCAAACGTAGCAATCGTTTTTACAAATTTCAAAGGATTTGTAAAAACAAACTAACAATGTTTGTTTACTCAAGATATGAAAATTTCACTTCTATAAATATTTATTACCGTAATATGGAAATAAAGCTCGATTTGAGGTATCAAAACAAAATAAAAATAAAACTGAAACTAAACTTCACAAAATACTAAAAAACCAACCAAATCTAAAAAACAACTGAAATATTTACACAGCCTATCTCAGTGAGCATTTTTCAAAGGGTTATTACTTGAACTACAATAAAAACTAAATAGTTCTAATGATGATTGTAACAATCCATTTTAAACACTTTATTATGAGATCTTATCACTGGGTTGACTTAGATATGTTGGAAGAATAAAAAAACATGACAAGAAAAATAGACCAATAAATCAATAATTAGGTTACAGTTAACCTTGACTTTTCAATTCATTGCTGTGGAGATCTGATGCACTGATGAGTGTTTCTTCTTTGTGTTTAATCATCTTTCCACCAGTAAACCCTGAAACAATATATGGGAGTTGGATATAAATCCTAAATGCAAATTATATAGCCTAGTTATCAACAAAAACAAAATTTAAAACTCTCAACATATAGGTTGTTCAAAAGTGACGATGTAGAGTAAAAGAAATAGATTGATAAAAGGACCATATTACAACGAATTTTGGAAACTAGGTTTCCATCGTCAGGCTGTGTTTAAAATGATACAAAAATGAATATTTACTTAATCATCTATATATTAATAGGCAAGCATGTTTCTTTAAAACCTTTTTTCTCAGCTCGTGTGCATATCAGGAAAAATCTACGCATACTGTTTAGAAAGATATTTTTCTGTAGGTGTGCAGAATCCCTTTAAAAATTAAAATATGCTCAGAAATAAGCACAAAAAAATGAATTTGAAATTTGAAAAAAACTAACATGGGCTTTATGGGTTTCCATGATGGTGACGAAATAACAACGAAATATAAACAGAATATCAAAACAAATTGAAGAAACTCCAATCACATGTTTTATTTACAGTGTGGGGTGAAAATAGAGAAGTCTGTTGTACATTACAAATTTTTGGTCGAGATTCGACCACTGGACGACCTCTAGTATATATTAAAACGTGACAGGTCTTTTATATTTCACGATTCTGAATCTACCACTTGACAGATTTTGATGGCTGTTGGCAGTCTTGCCATCAACCAGAGTGAAATTTCCCTTTTACAGGGGTGTTATTGCAAATATCACTTAGTTAGCTTTTGCTGAATATAGAGAATGTAACATGTGATCCGGATACAGTGCTATCTCATATTTACCAATTATGTCACTTAGTTCAATATGGTTTCACACCGGCCATTTGTGAACCTTGATATGGCAAATTTTCAGATCACCTAATCTCAATGTAACAGAGTTGATGCTTGATCAAAAATGCTTGGTATAAATTCTTGGTTTGGTCCACTGGAATTTGTTGCAACATTTGAATACTCACCTAGAACTCCAGCCCCCACAGCTGTGAGACTACCCAGTTTAAACCCCGCAAAGAGCCCCACAGGCCCACCCAGGACAGAGCCCAGCAGAGCTCCCATCAGTGGGTACATGCCGCTCTTGAGGCGAGCCGCATGGGCCAACATCCGTTCTCCACTAGTTACGTTGTGATGAGTCGTCTCCACATGAGTCTCTATGCGCTCGACTGCCTCGCCTTGCTCCTGTCATAAAAAAAAAGAAATGAAATAATGTTTATTTCCCAACTGAAAAATACAGTTCGTAGTATTTTACATAATAAATTACACAATCCTTGACTTAAAAATAACTTCCAAAATAATATTATAACTAAATGTCATAAAGAAAAAAAAACCTTATCAACTTATATGGAAATGGTCTACATAGGCAGGGCCTGTGCGTAGACATGAGTTGCGGGTAATTTGTTAAGTGAATGGGAAAATTATTTTTGGAAGTAATTGTTATCACGTCTGGACATAAATGTTGTCTTGCTTGGAACTGGACTACGATATTTCTCTGAAACTAAGGAGAATCTAAAGTGCTTCTCAAAAATCAAGTGATAGGTTGAGCGGAGAGGAGTGGCGGGTTGTGTATAAATGTTTATATTACAAACCGGGATGAAAATAAAACACAAATTATAGTTTTGTTAAATATCTGTTCGATATTACTCTATGTA